TCTTGTGGTTTGTTTTAGTTCGGGATACTTCGATCTTTTTATAAATTTTTTATCTAAACCAATTACCGAAAACTCCATAATTTGCCAGCGCAGTAGTTGTGGGTATCCGATGTTAGTGATGTGCTATCATTGCGCAGCTATGCCAGACTTTCAATCCTGCAGAGGAAGGGAGCGAGAGGGGGAGATGCTTCCGATTATCTTAAATTTAATTTCTTATTCCTACTTGCATTCATAGGCGGATCAAGGGTAAGGGGGCGAGGCGTTTTCGCCCCTCCTCCTCCCTCACCGCGTTCTTCAACGGCACAGGCACCAGTGCTGCAAAATCCCGGTCTAAAACTAAGCAAACTAAGGCCTAAAGTAACTCTAGGTAGCAGTGTCACAACTCAATTCCCAGTTTCTTCGTGACTCCAGGGAGAGAAGGGATTCTCCTGCTACCCCCGTCGCTCCTTTCTTCCAGGGGCCCGATGAACCGCCCTCCCAGATGTCCGTCCTGGATCTGCCTATGATTACATTTAATTTCTTTCAAATCTTTATTCGTACCTAAAGTTATTACCCAACTACCTTTGACGTGTGTCTTCTCTTCGAAGGCTGGCCGAGTGGTTGCTTACCTTTTCGCGGGTACCATGATCCTAAATAGACGGCCCAAACTAATCAGTTCTTTTAAATGTGATTTCATGGAGCGAGAAAAGGAATTGCTAACTACCGAAGAAATAGCATAAGTCTTTAAGGCAGTGGGTACTAATTGGAGGTGTGTAGATTAGGACTGGTATAGCTGCGCCTGGCATGCAGTAGCACTGCAGTAATATCACTAATATGAAATATCCACATTGAACACCCCTGGTGAACATGGCATTCTTGCTGTGTTTGTGAATATTTTTCATATTACTTCGTTTTACCTCGATTCTTTAACGAACTGTTTCATCGTCGCGTTTCTTCTTGCCAATTGATACAACTGGCAAATTCTGCAGGCAAAACTAGTGAGTGTATTTGATATGTTGATGAGTGGCTTGGATATTGTGAAGCATATCGATTATGCTACGGCATTCATCTCTTCATCCAAAACGATTTGTCGATTTTTTGGCTATCTGGTATTGTTCGGTCCAGCAGCCATTATCCTTGTTTTTATCATTGTTGCTTACTATATCAGTGCTATTCGCTATAAAATGGTCAGTTATTACTTTTTTCCTTCTCAAAATCATAATTTTCTCCAAATTTTTCTTCCAAGAAGCAATGCGTTTTCTTTTCTCTCACTAATTTTTGCCTAGTCCAGTAAAAATGTCGAAAATTTTCCACTCTGTGAACGCGATCAGAATTCATTTCGGACAGTACTTTGGTATTACTTGTTTGCTGTATTGCGGGCACCTAC